CTACAATAAACTTTATAACCTGTAAGTTGATGAAAACATAATGCGATGCACTCACTGCCTCAGATGCGGCTGTTCTAATGACAAAACACATATTGCCATCATTTGCTGGTCAAAAACCTTGTTAACTCCATTTGAGCTAGATTAATTGAGCTAGATAATACCATCTCTGACGTTGCAGTCTTTAATTTAAAAAAAATTTTAAAATCCCCCCTTTGTATTTTTTTTTTCTCTGTAGTTCAGTGCTTAGTGGTGTGCAGTGGGATTTTTTATTTATCAATAATAATCTGCCGTGGCAGAAAAAAGGTTGGGAAACACTGCCATAGAGAACTCTCCTTTCAAATTACAGATGAACCAAGAGATCCTGGTTTAGAAGGGGGGAGCCTGGCATAGATAATGCTACCGGAGAGATATAGACTGTTTATTCTTGCCCCAAAAGAGACCTTTAACCCTGGTTCATAGAGGAATGGTCATTAATGTGAAGAGTGGGGGAGAGTCAGAAAAAAAAAAACCTGTAGTGTCACTCTATGGCACAGTGTACTCAGTGTGCTCAAGTAAGTGCTTATATGGAGCCGTTATCTTTAGTAAGTTTGAATATTGGGCACATGTGAAAAACATGCTTTTGCCCTACAAGTTAGGATGGGCTTTATTTTCATTTTGTGTTAAGACCCTCCCTCCCTGGGAAATGGGAAAATGTGAGCGGTTGAGAGGGAGAAGGGGAGAGAAAGAGAACGGCTGATATGAGCGATTGATTGAGTAAATACAGTGAATTAATCGGTAAATCATCGAAGAAAAATAGTTTATTTTAATTCTAAACAACTTTCTAAGAGTAAATGTCTTCATTCAGTGACATCAGACTTAATGCATAATCTCTTAGGCATTAGTATATTGAACCTGGTGCTGCTCCTTACTAAGCTGTTAAAAAAGGTAGGGGCGCTACATTACATACGGATAAAAGTTTAGGAAAAGTAATTATTCAGTCACTGCATAGAAAGCAGTTTGTGAGGGCAATGTGAAAATGTAAAAAAAAAATGTAATTACTTCCCTAAACATTTGTTTAGAGACATCTAGAATTACTCAGACAACCTTAAAATAAGAGAAGTGATTTTCAAACTTTCTAAAAATGTAAAAGATAATCAGGTGGTCTGTAAAACAAAGATAAAGAACAGAGTTTCAAAAGGTTTATTTCAGTTCTAATGTCATTTGTTATGCTTTTGCCACACACTTTGGACATTTTTTTATTTAATTTACACATATTAGTAACATGTGGTGCATCAATGGCTTGCATTGTTTCCTCACAACAAATATATAATTGATACAGTAAAAAAAAAGTCATCATCATCAACATGTGACAGTTAAGCTAAATCAATATAGTTGAATACATATGACAAAAAAAGAAAAAAACCTACTAGCCATCACAAATTGTACATTGTTTTCAACAAAATAGGGGGGGGGGGAGGTCTATAATACAAGTATAATACAATAATGTTTAAGATAACAAAAATCTATATTTTAACAAAAAAAAATTTACTCAAATATTTCTACTTCTTTTTTTAAAAAGTCTCATTACTTCCTTCCGTAGTTTTGTCAGATTTAGTCCATAAATAAGGGGATTTAACATGGGAGGAACGAGTAGAAATTCTAGTGCCATGAAATTACGCAAATCTTGTGGCATACTCCTAGAACCATACCGAGTGTACAGCACATCAAACAGCAATGCAACAGTCACATTGAGCAGTGCAAGCAGATGTGGTACACATGTTTGTATGAATTTGTTTCTGCCCTCTGTTGACTTTCTGCATTTTCCAATCAAGTGAATGTATGAGCAAAATATCAATACTGCATGTCCAAAATATATAATAATGATTACATACCCAATCACATTATTTACTGTTGTAGAAAAACAGGACAGTTTAACAACTGACCAGTTTTCACAATATAGCTTTTCAATACTAGAGCCACATAAGGTTAGCCTTGATGTTACTACAATTAAAACACACATGCAAAAAAATGGAGAAAGCCAGCAGAAAAGGATACATTCAAGTATTCTCTGATTGGTCATTACTGAATGATACTCCAGTGGTCTACATATTGCCACATACCTGTCATATGCCATCGCTGTTAATGTTGAAAAGTCACACAGAACATATGAATAAATGACAAATATCTGAATCAAACATCCAACATAAGAAATCAAGTGATATTGGGATAATAAATCATACATGAATTTAGGGTAGAATCCAGCTGTGCCAAAAAGTCCATTCATACACAAATTACATATAAATACATACATTGGCTCATGAAGCTTCTTATGCGAGATTACAGTGTAAATAATGATCACATTACACAACACGATTAATGGATAATACAGTGCAGTCAAAGAAAAAAACACAAATCTGTTTCCCATCATTTCATTTAGTCCAGAGAGTGTAAATACTAAGACAATGGACTCATTCTCCAGTGGTGGCTGCATCTGGAATAATATGCAAAGACTTATTATAATGCTATCATTATTCATTAATTAGAATACAATTATTTGTAAGTTAATTTGAAATTAAAGGTTGAATGACATATATCTTACCACAGTCTCTGTTTGTATGTTTGACAGAGTGTTGTGTAAAAGGTTGATTTGGTCTGATATATATGGAGACTGGTCTCATGCTAATTGCCTTGTTTACGAACACTTGTAACAAAAAATCTCTCTTGAGAATCGTTTTAAAAATATGTCAAACTATACAGTATCAAACGTCATGAAAGTAATGTGCAAATAAGCACTCACATATGAATGTTGTCATTAAATAATATTATTAATTTTTGCAAACCCTGTTCTTTCAGTGCAGTTGTTAATTACTTTTGCGGTATGTAAATGTCTAGCTACACTGTAATAACATTATTATATACAGTATTTCACATTGTATTTGTTTTCTATGTTTTTTTTTTCTCTGCAATATGCTTTATATTTGTAAATGTCATGTTTGAAAAGAGTTTTTATTCCAGAATCTTCATTAAAATCACATGCAAGGAATTAATCACAAGGAACAAACAATATTATCAATGTGACAAAAAAGCTAGGGTAGTGATGTAAGTGCAAAACAAATTAAATTATGTGCAGCTATTATAAGGAGTTTTGTAACTACAGTACAAAAACCTTTGATGGCCCCCCACCACCCCCCATAGCTGGAAAAAAAATGGTAAAAGAAACAATAAAATATAATACTGTCAATTTATTTACAGTTTTCACTCAGTCACTCACTCGATATAATATAATTCTTAAAGGAACTGCAGTCATGCCTGGCTCCACAAGGGGCTAGAGTGGGCTGGTTTGGTTCAGCCAGGCAATCATTCAGACTTCTATGCCCCAACTTACGTGAGAAAGTTGCAGCTGAACCTGCTATAAGTTACACCACCGCTGTCAAGCTCCAAAAATTGAAAAATAAATATAGTACATGTTCTTCATACTTTGAATTACAATGCTTAACAACAGCAACTACAGTAGCATAAAGATGTGAGTTTATATTCTTGATAAATCAGTTGTGTCTTATATTTTACTCATAAATTTAAAATTCAAAAAATCCTTTGGGAACTCATGACTGTTTACCTCTCCAGGTTGTTATCATGGAGATATGTAATTCGACATGTAGCTAGCAGGGCTTAATGGGGCCATGACAACCAGCAAAACCTTGTGGAAAACAAAACCTGCATCCCAATTTGTAGGGGCCTATACCAGGATCTCTGGGAAAATGCAGGGAAACAACCTGGACAGATGGCCAGACTCAGGACTGTAGCATATTAGCTCAAAAGGGAAATGTATATAAATAATTACAATTAATAATAATTAATTAAAGTCCCTGTAAAGTCAATATTAAGTATGTGTTCTGAGTTTTTCACACCACAGAAAAATGTATTATTAACCACTCAGCCAAATTTGAATGATAAAAAAATCCGCTAAGTACATAAAATAAGTTATCAAAATCTCGAAAAAATGGCCGGTATCCTCTGCTCTCAAATGCTAGGGGCATGTCCGCTGTCTGCACTGAAACCATGCCCACTCGTGGGAAGGCTGCCGCCTCTTAACTGTCAAATACCGCTACAGCCTGAATGGATGCTCCTAGCAGCTTAATAGGATTTACAAAGAAATGGTAAAAGAAACAATAAAATATAATACTGTCAATTTATTTACAGTTTTCACTCAGTCACTCACTCGATATAATATAATTCTTAAAGGAACTGCAGTCATGCCTGGCTCCACAAGGGGCTAGAGTGGGCTGGTTTGGTTCAGCCAGGCAATCATTCAGACTTCTATGCCCCAACTTACGTGAGAAAGTTGCAGCTGAACCTGCTATAAGTTACACCACCGCTGTCAAGCTCCAAAAATTGAAAAATAAATATAGTACATGTTCTTCATACTTTGAATTACAATGCTTAACAACAGCAACTACAGTAGCATAAAGATGTGAGTTTATATTCTTGATAAATCAGTTGTGTCTTATATTTTACTCATAAATTTAAAATTCAAAAAATCCTTTGGGAACTCATGACTGTTTACCTCTCCAGGTTGTTATCATGGAGATATGTAATTCGACATGTAGCTAGCAGGGCTTAATGGGGCCATGACAACCAGCAAAACCTTGTGGAAAACAAAACCTGCATCCCAATTTGTAGGGGCCTATACCAGGATCTCTGGGAAAATGCAGGGAAACAACCTGGACAGATGGCCAGACTCAGGACTGTAGCATATTAGCTCAAAAGGGAAATGTATATAAATAATTACAATTAATAATAATTAATTAAAGTCCCTGTAAAGTCAATATTAAGTATGTGTTCTGAGTTTTTCACACCACAGAAAAATGTATTATTAACCACTCAGCCAAATTTGAATGATAAAAAAATCCGCTAAGTACATAAAATAAGTTATCAA